TCAACTTACCTACATCCTTAGGTATAGATATGCATCTTGGGAACAGCATACAGTTGTTTTTAAATCCAGTCTAAATTTTTTTTTAATTTAACTGGAGTTTTATGTTTATTTGTATTTAATGTAATTGGTTATATGTTGGCTTAAATCTAACATCTTACTATATGCTTTCCATTTGTCCCGCCTGCAATATTTCCTTTTCTATTTTTTTTTCTTCTTTCAGGTTATTACAGTTTTCCCCTTTCATTAGTTTGGAAGTTACACCTTAACTCTGTTTTAATTTTATTCTTAAGTTTTCCCTACAGTTTCTAAATGCATCCTTGACTTTTCAAATCCAAATGTTAATCAGCACTTCTATTCTCTTCCTTAGAACACTTGAACTTCATTCCCCTCTTTAATTTGCCTTTTACTTACATGTTATTGTTGTGGTGGGCTTTAATTTCATATACATTTTAAATCCCATAGGACATTATTACTGTTGTTTTACAGTCAGAATTATTTAGACTTTCCTTCATTTACCATCTCAATTCCTTCCTGCAATAACCACTAACATTTGGGTTCCTTCCTCTCTGCCTGGAGCATCCCGGACCAGGGTTGGAGTCCACAACCCGGCATTTGCTTAGGAATGGAACCGGCAGCCTTTCGGTGCACTGGGTGATGACCAACCCGCTGAGCCACACGGCCAGGGCATCCAGTGGGATGCTCTGAGTTGTTTGCCGCCACTGCTCAGGGTTCTGATTACTCGTGAGGGAACCCACTGTCGTTAGTTTATGCAGAAGGGCTCTTACAGAGAGTGGGGAGCCACACTGCCTTCAGGGGAGCTGGGCCCAGTGGGCCGCTCACCCAGGCACAGCAACAGACAGGAGGTCTCCCCGGGGAAGGGGACAGCCCTGGGTGTTCACCTGCTGTTTGGTAGCCATGACACTGGGACAAGCTGGGACCTATGCCTGAGCTGCCCCTCAGGAACCACATGTCACCCCAACATGTCCTCAGCTACAGCTATTTCCCATCGTGGACAGTGCATCCCCTTGGCAGAAGCTGGCTGAGCGGAAGCAGCTGGGGGAGGGGGTGCAGAGGGGGCTGGGCTCCTGGGAGCTGGGCTGGGGGGGAGGCGGCTGGGCTCGGGGGAGGGATGGCTGCAGAGCGGGGCCTGTGGGAGGCCTGGGAGAGGAGCACCGGGTGGGGAGGCGTGGACTGAGCGGGAGCAGCCAGGGGACCGAGGGGCTGAGAGGCAGGAGGGTGTCCATCCACCCCGACGTGTGCTATGCCCGAGGCCTCCCCTCTGACCCGGCCTGCAGGACCCTGGCATGGAGCTCGCTTCCCTTGAAAGAAAGTCCACAGATGTACTCTCCGGAGTCAACACATTTCCCACAAAAGTTTAAAAGTCGGGGGTGGGGCAGGCGGATGGGGGGGTGGGCGGCTGTGTCTATGCTAACCAAAGAATTGACGGGAGTCTCATCTAAATCACCTTATAACTTAGTGTCCGCACACGTTTTTGTTGCTAAATTATGAAATTTGATGATGCAAAAAGCAAGTCCTCCCTTACGCAGTAAGTCCGCCCTTAACCTTGTCAATAGGTTCTGCAACTTTGAAACAACATAAAACAAAACCGATGTAACCACCGGCTACTTGATATAAAAAGAGTAAGTTCCTAGCGTCTCAGCAACCGTACAGTTCCATGCTGAAGAGGACATCTTAAGCTGGAGTCTTGGACCTACTGTGTAACGTGTGTCAGCTGAGCCACAGAAATACACAAACACTCCGAGCCCGCCACCCAAACTGCGACATCATCACGTGAGGTGAGCGTGGGAGTTCCCTGTGCAGACAGACCGTGTCAGCCATGTGAGCCAAACGCAGCCTCTTATTTCATCAACGGAAGTGCAACAGTTCAGGTTATTTCTTGTCAATGCCTCTGCCAGTCATAAAAGGAACTCAGCCACCTTCCTAAAATGGTACAAATTCATTGCTCCTCACCCGTCCCCTGTGCCCGGAAACTCCCGCGTGTCACCCATTCCCATTAGTCACACTCCACGCCGTTCACCTGGTGAGTCCTGCCGCTGAGGGTCCTTTCGATTATGGGTTTGAAAGCTGGGTTTTGAGGGGCTGACACATTCATTCTTTCATTTGTTTGTCCAAACACTTACTGAGCATCATCTAAGTCATCAACTGGGGCAGGTGCCTCGATAATAGCAATTTCAGTGATAAGGACTGTAACAGCGGACATCGGTGGGGGCCCGAGACCTGTCAGGAGCTTTGCCCGCAGCACCTAACCCTCACCCTCCACCAGCAGTGCCCACTTCCCCACCCGGGGGCGCCACAGAGGACGACACTGAGGTCACCTTCAGCTGGAGTCGTGGACCCTGAAAGGCTTGGAGTTGGAACAGACCCTGACTTCCCAAACCCCAGCAGGGCTATTCTCCTGCCAGGCCCACACCTGGCGCCTCAGAGTGAACCTGGAGCTGTCGGGGCGGCCTTCCTGCCCCCCCCCCCCCCACTCCCCTTCCCTGGCGGCACCGAGGGAGGCAGGGTCCTCTCCGAGCTGCCAGGAATTGACCCGGACGCTGTCCCGAGCGGCCCAGAGCCCAGGGGAGTCAAGCTCTCGGGCTCCAGCCCTGGCAGCAGGCCCAGGGCTGAGGGCACTGGTGTGGGAGCATTTTAATGTGTTTTAAATACATAATCTAAGATTAGATGCTCATTCACATGACCTTTGTCCGTTCTTGCCTCGAGCCCTGCAGTGGGAGTTAATAAGTATTGGAGGAAACAGGGCAGCCAAGCGGAGCTTTGCACCAGGGGAGGTGGGGTCCTGTTTGCCCTCCGATAATGGCACCCCATTTCCCTCCCACAGTCCTAGTCTAGATGCTTAGTCACCACCGACTCCCCTAACGCCAGTGATGGTCTGGCGACATCCCCTGAAGCCCAGAGCTGTTTTCTGCAGCAGCTTGTCTCAAGGATGGTCCAGGCCTGGGACCACGCCCTGCCGTGTTTTAAGGAAAATGCCCTGCAGTGGTTCTCAAACGCTGGTCCCAGGCCAGCAGCACCTACATCCCCCAAGACTTGTTGGAAATGCACATTTCCAGGTCCCGAGTCCTCCAGCATCAGCAGCACTGGGGGAGACGGGGGCGGGGGGAGGGCAGCTGCTGCCTCACAAGCCCTCCAGGAGATTCTGGCGTGGCCACTGTAATTTCAGGGAAGATGTTCGAAGGGTGGGAGCTGGGAGGCAGGGAAGACAGCTGTTAGAGAGACAGGACTTGAGCTCCCGCCCAGCCCCATGGGACCAGCTGGGTATCCCCCCGGGCCTGGGCCTCGCCTGGAGACAGCATGGCAGCACATCCTTCCTCGCAGCTTAGCTGATGTGCACCCAGGCGAGCGCTCTCACGTCTAAGTGCCTCCTCAAGGCCGCCTGTCAACGCCCGCCCGTCAATGACCCGGGGCGTCCAGAGCAGCTGCGGGGGTCTGCGGCCTCTCCCGCTGAGTGGGAACTCGGAGTAATTTAAAATACTCCGAGTAATTTAAAATACTCCGGCGCCCCAGCTTCCTGGCAGCAAGGGACCGAAATGACGTCAATGACAGTGCCCAACAGGCTTGCATTTGAGCACCAAGAAGACATGTGGCGATTACAGAAGACACACAGTAACAGATGACAGACATGGGAACCGTTACCGACTTTGCTTACCTGCTTCAGTCATCAGTTCCACTGGAGGCTGCAGCCAAGGCATCAAGAGAAGGAGGGCAGCCCCTGGAGGGTGAGGAGACCCCCAGGGCAAAGGTGTCCCTGGGGACCAAGGCCCTGACCACCACACCTTGTATCCCACCACCGTGTCAGATGTAACCGTGGGGCGGGAGGAGGTGACAGAAGCACGTGGCTTCATTTGACAGGTGGTGTTGGAGGCAGGCCCTCTGCAGACCCTGGACCAGGAAGATGAAACATCGCTGGAGTTGAGTGACATGACTGGAGTGTCCTGCTTGGGGCGCAGGAGAAGGGAGAAGGCAGGCTCTGAGCTGGGAAGAGCCACCCGAGAAGGGGAAGCTATCGGGAGGCGGCCTCCAGGAAGCCCCAGGCCGAGCGCAGAGCGAGTGGCTGCTGGGCTGCTCTCCGGCGCCGCTCAGTGGTCGCCGGGGCTCAGAGCCCACAGCGCACAACCAAGTGCAAAACTGTGTGAGCTATGTTCGTTTTCCTGGAGCGACCACAGAGAGCCCCCGCAGACCACTGCCGACGTGGGCCTCTGTCCCCCCACCCCTACCCTGGCCCATGACCCTGAGATGGCACGGACTCCCTGGCAGCCCAGTCCACGCAGGGGCAGGTGGGCCTCTGCAGCGCCTCCCTCACACCACCCTACTGACCCCACTGCACCTTCCTGTGGTAGTTCTTAGCCCGTCTGTGAATGGAAAGGCTGAGGCAGGAAGTGACATGGCTGCCCAAGGGAGAAAGGGGAGCTGGGGTTTGAACCCAGGAATCTGTGATCACTGCAGTCACATGTCAAACAGGCAGGATGCGGTAGGTCACAGGGGAAAGGAGGCTGAGAGCCATGGGTAGTGACACTTGAAATGAACCATGAAACACGATATTAAACAATATTTAAATAAGAGTAAACCTCCCGAGAAATGCCCTGGTGCCTGGTGGCGGGTGCTCCTCCGAGGCCCACGCCCTGCAGGCTGCAGCCCTTCGAGCCCCCACCAGGCCCCAGCGGCACAGGCCGGTCTGAGGCTCTGCACCCACCTGCTCCCCCTCGGTCGAGGGAGGGGCCAGCAGGAGGCCCTGCTCCTGCAGCTCCCAGGCGGTTCCTGCGAGACCTGCCCACCACACGACACGCAGCAGCGCCCGGCAGGCGGGACCGGCTCCCGTCGTGAGGAAGAGCCTCCAGGACGGAGCCCCCGCCTCCTTCCCAGCCGTGGCCACGCTCCGCTGCCAGGGCGGCCAGGCCACCCCAGAGCAGGGCGAGGAGAAAGATGCCCCCAGCAGGACACGGAATTAAGCGTCATTTATTCTAGGGCAAACTCAAAAGGGTTCTTTTATTTTTTATTTTTTAGCAAATCCTACATTATTAACAAAAGAGTCTGTACATTTGCATGATACACTAGAGAGTGAAACGTGAAAAAGCCCCCCCAAATAAAACCAAAAAACAGAAACCCAACCGGGGGGTGTGGGACCATGCGTGCACACACAGCGCTGACCAAACATTTGGTGGCCGGTATCTTTTAGAGCATTTTCTTTTCACTTCCAAACGTCACTGCCAGCAAAGTCCTGCGGGTTCTACAGAGTTCCTGCTTGCTGTTGTTTGATGTGTGTTATGTTTGATAAATAAAGGGCGGCAGGGAGAGAAGATGAGGAAACCCGCTGCAGCAGCTGCAGAGGGTGTCGGACGCGAGTGCTGGCCAGAGGGGAGTGTCCTTGAGGAGCCGCCTCGCCGGCCGCAGCCTCGACGATGGCAGCGGCAGAAAGCGGGAGCCGGGCGGGTTCAGTGAGAACGCTTTAGAACTGCGCAGCTTAAGCAAACGCTGGGGGTGGGGGGACAGGAGGGACAGACGACAGCGCCGAGTCAGAAAGACCAAGGCCCAGGGCCCGAGAGGAGCCCCTGAAGAAGCTTCCGCAGGCCCGGGAGCCACGGGCAGCGGGGCAGCACCGGGCACGGCGCGGACACCAGCGCGAGGGCGCAGCCTTTGGCCCAGGTACAGAAGCAACACCGGGGTCTGCCAGAGGCCCTCCGCGCTTTCCCTCCGTCCTGCCACGTGCTCCACGTTCTTAGCAGGTCTCAACATACAACTTAAAGAGGCACAACTAACCCTTCCATGGCGGCGGCTGGGGTGGCGGGGAGGGAACCTGCCCTGCACGGCCACGTCCAGGACGCAGGACGCTAAGATGAAAGAGAAACACAGACCGCCACACCCTGCTCATCAGAGCGCTCCCTCCCCGTCGGGTGTCGGTGTTGGCTGGCGGGCGGCCGGCACGCTGCGCCCGCGGGCCCTCAGCGCTGGACACTGCATGGCTCTTTCACTCCTGCCGTTGTGTGTGCGGACGCAAAACAGGCCTTGCTCCTTACATTCAATGCCAGTAAGATTCTACACGAAAGCTGGAAGGGACCAAATACTGATTGTAATAAATATGCGTGGCCTCCTCGCCCTGACGGGAGCCTACGAGGGGCGGGAAGGTCTGAGAGGCACCGCGGCTGCTCTGCGGCTCGGACGCCGCGCTGCCATTAGCTGTGCGTGGAGACGTCGGAGGAGGAGCTGCTGTTGCTGTTCGTGGTCTGCGCCCTCTTGATGTACAAGTTCAGCAGCTTCATCTGCAGGGAGAGAGGGCTGGGTTAGCAGGAGGCGAGGCAGCCGGGAATGGAAAGCAGGAAAAAGCCGGCACCCTTTCACTGAGGAACTCGTTACACAAACAGTTCCGAGTGTCGATGCCTCATTCCACGCCCGCCAGGGCCAGAGACCCGGAGGAGAGAATGCAAGGGCGACTACAAAGCAGGGCCCCTTGGACAAGGCACACGCAGGACAGACCCCCCACCTCACGGGCGCCTGCAGCCAGCAGCTCCGTCCGCGCTGGCGGGAAGCAGGGCAGAGCCCAGGCGCCACAGGGATAAGGTAGCTCAGCCACGGTGAGGGGGCGTCACACCTCCTCCCCCCCACTGCAGCCAGAGCCCACGCAGCACTGCGCATCGCAGACCCCGCCGGGCCACCCCCACGCGGCGGCCTCCCAGCTGCTCACTTGGAGGCAGTCCTGTCTCCCTCGCTGCTCCGTGGCACTGTACCCCGTGGCACATGCCGCCTCCTGCTACAGGTAGCAGTGGACTCCTCGCTGCTTCCAGCAAGCAGACCTCCCCGACACCAGACACCGCGTCACACAGCAGCCCCTCCCACGGGCTGCTCGCCAAGGGCCCTGGAGAGGGGCTGGGTGAGCTGTGTGGTGCGCCCGAGGAAGGGCCCTCTGACCACCAGGAGGAAGAGGCACAGGAGCCACAGAGCTCCCAGCAGGGGCGCCACCTCCCCGCCCGCCCCGCCCCAGGTGCTCTCCGCCACGCGCACTCGAGACTGAAACCCGTGTGGTGGGCTCTCCACACAGGGCGTCTGGGCGGGCATCCTGGAGCTGCCTTTGCCCACGCCCATGCCTGCCTTGCTATCCGCCCCCCCCTCCCCCCGGCAGCGGCTATAGGCCAATGGTTCTCAACCTTGGCTGCACATTAGAATCACCTGGGAATCTTTTTAAAATCCTGATTTCTGGGCCTCATCCTCTGGAAATTCTGTTTCTTTGTTATGGGGTGAGGCCACAACATTAGTAACAAAGAAATAATTTCCGGAGGGTGTGGCCCAGAAATCAGGATTTTAAAAAGATTCCCAGCTGATTCTAATGTGCAGCCAAGGTTGAGAACCACTGGGCTAGGCCATGGTAACATACACTCCCTACCAGTTTGTTTTTCATTCCCCACCTTTTAAATGTAGAAACATTTAATATGATGTCGTGCTACGATGAAAGCGCCTCTGAAGGCTCTGGGGCTCAGTATGACACCTCTGGGCCAACCAGGACCCAGGGAAACTCTGGCCTGAGGCTCCACAGATGCTGCCGAATTCTAGAACAAGCTTCACACTAACTAGTTACGTGACCGCAGGCAAAACACTTCCTGAGCCTTAACCTCCCCGCCTGCAAAATGAAGAGCAGTAACATTCCAAGGTGCCCTCTGTGGCTCCTTGTTCAGCAAATGTGTCCTCTGAACGCCCCTCCCCGATGGCTCACACTGTTCCTTCCTGCTGTTTGCTCCTTCTTCCCTCCTAAGCAGCTCACCCCGCCCCGCCCTGCCCTGCCCAGCCCAGCCCAGTTTGGTCCCTCTCCTCCTGCTCCCATGGCCTAGAACAGCCATGGGCAAACTACGGCCCGTTTGAAATGAATAAAACTAAAAAAAAAAAAAAAAAAAAAAAAAAAAAAAAAAAAAAAAAAAAAAGACCGTACCCTTTTATGTAATGATGTTTACTTTGAATTTATATTAGTTCACACAAACACTCCATCCATGCTTTTGTTCCGGCCCTCCGGTCCAGTTCAAGAACCCACTGTGGCCCTCGAGTCAAAAAGCTTGCCCACCCCTGGCCTAGAACCTAGAATCAGAGCCTGTCCCACAGCGTTCACTACACGCTGCTCACTCCTGGGCTGCTATGGAGGGTCCCTGTGGTCCAGCCTGTGCCCCAGCTCTTCAGGGCAGAGTGAGCTGTGCTTTTCCCACATGCCTTGGCCTAGTGTAGTGAAGAAAGCAGGTTCCTAACACATAGCTGCTGAATGGAAGAGTTTTTAAAAAACAAAAATTATCTAGAAGATATTTCTATGTAAGGCCAGTTAAAAATGAGTTACTGTTAGACTTCTTTGCAACTCAGACCACTAATGTATCCACCCAGTCAAGTCTAGAATACAACTGTAAGTCCAAGGGAAAGACAACAGTAGAGTTAATGATGTGCACATGTTTAACAATCTACAAGGAGCTTTGATGCCTTATAAAAATCCTTCCAGGTAGATAGAACAGGGTCTCCTGTTTTACAAATAAAAAGCCAGGGTCCAGAAAGCTTGCTCATTAGCTGGTATAAATTCAAATGGGACTACTGTAACTTCAGAATGTTAAATGCAATCCCCATGGTAAGCACAATGAAAACAGCTATAGAATACACACAGAAGGAAACAGGAATTAAAACATTTCAGTACAAAAAGCAAACAAACACAAAAGACAGTAATGCAGAAAAGGAGGGAAGTAAAAGCGTTATGGTATATAGAAAACAAATACCAAATGCTAGAAGTCTCTCCTCCTTTATCAGTAGTTACTGTAAATATAAATGGATTAAACTCTCCAGTCAAAGGACAGAGATTGGTAGAGTGGACAGAATAACATGATTCAACTATATGCTAGCCACAAAAAAATTCACGTTAGATCCAAAGAATAAAGAGGTTGAAAGTGAACGGATGGAAAAGATATTCCATGCAAACAGTAACCAAGAGCACAGGGTAGCTACACTAATATCAGATAAAATAGACTTTAAGTCAAAAAAGGTTACAAGAGACAAAGAAGGAAATTATATATCAACAAAAGATCAATACTGCAAAAACATAATTACAAACATTTATGCATCTAATAACATAATATCAAATATATAAAGTAAAAACTGACAGACCTGAAGGGAGAAACAGTTTTACAACAATAGTTTGAGACTTCAATAACCCATTCTTAATAATGGAAAGAACTCAAAAAAAGAAAATAAGAAAAAGAAAATAAAGAAAAAAAGGCCCGAACAACACAATAAGCCAACTAGGTCTAACAAGCACACAGAGCATTCTACCAAACAACAGAATACACATGCTTTTCAAATGCACATGGAGCATTCTCCAGGATAGACTATATGTTAAGAAACAAATTAGATCCCAAGAGATTTTTTTTTTTGAGAGAAAACATTGACTTGTTGTTCCATTTATTTATGCATTCATTGGTTAATTCTTGTATGTACCCTGATTGGAGATTGAACTCACAACCTTGGCATATCGGGACAATACTCTAACCAACTGAGCTGCCGGGGCCAGGGCCTCAACAGATTTTAAAAGATAAATATCATTCAAAGTATCGTCTCTGGTCACAATGAATGAAGCTAGAAATCAATAACAAAACGAAAACTATAAGAAAAAAATCCTAAATCTGTAGAAATTGAACACACTTTTAAACCACCAATGGGTCAAAGAAGAAATCACAAAAGAAATTAGAAAATACCTTGAAAAAATGAAATGAAAACACAACATACCAAAACTTATGAGAGGCACTGAAAACAGCGCAAAGAGGGATATTTACAACAATAAATGCTTATATTAAAAAAGAAAGATCCCTTAACATTAACATAACTTTACATTTTAAGGAACTAGAAAAAGAATAAACTAAACCCCAAGCTAGCAGAATGAAGGAAATACTAAAGATTAGAGCAGAAATAAATGAAACAAAAACAGAGACATATCAATGAAACCAAAAGTTGATTCATTCAACAAAAAACAACAACAAAACTGACAAACCTTTAGCTAAGCTGACTAAAAAAAAGACTCAAATTACTAAAATCGGAAATGAATATGTATACATTATTACTGATTCTAAAGAAATCAAAAATATTACAAGAGAATACTATAAACGATAGTACACCAACAAATTAAGATAAAGATGAAATGGATCATTTCCTAGAAACACAAACCTACCAAGACAGAATCATGAAGAGAAAGACTACACAGGCCTGTAATTAGTAAGGACACTAAAGTGTAATAAGAAATCTCCTGACAAAGAAAAGATCAGGTGGCTTTACTTCAAATGTTCTACAAATGTTCTAAAAAAACATTTAGAGAACTAATACAATCCTTCTCAAGTATTTCCAGAAAACTAAAGAGAAAAGAACACTTTCAAACTCATGCTATGAAGTTAACATTTGTTAACTAATACAATCCTTCTCAAGTATTTCCAGAAAACTAAAGAGAAAAGAACACTTTCAAACTCATGCTATGAAGTTAACATTTGTCCTGATACCAAAGCCAGATAAAGACATTAGAAAACTATAGATCCCTTATGAACAGTTATGAACACTGACGCAAAAATCTTCAAGAAAAGGCTAACAAACAGTATTTGATAGCATATTTAAAAGGTTATATAACATAACTGAGGATAAATTCCTGAAACGCAAGGATAGTTCAACATATGAAAATTGATCAATATTATATACACATCACATTAACAGAACGAAGGAAAAAACAACAACCCCACAGTTATCTCAACTGATGCAGAAAAAAATTTGACAAATTTTTGATGAAAATTTTTGATGAAAATACTCAACAAACTAGGAATAGAAGGAAACTACCTCAACATATCCAAAGCTATATATGAAAAGCCCACAGCGAAAATTATGCTCAATGGTAAAGACAAAGCCTTTTTGCTAATATTACGAACAAGGGGAGGATGCCTGCTTTTACCAATTCTACTCAATATAGAACTATAAGTTCCAGCCAGAGCAATTAGGCAGGAAAATAAATGAAAGGCATCCACATTATAAAGGAAAAATAAAATTATCTTTGTTTACAGATGATTTTATATGTAGAAAATCCGTAAGATTCTACAAAAAAAGTTAAGAGTAATAAATTCAGCAATGTAGCAGGATACAAAAACCAATGACCAAAAACCAGTTGCATTTCTTTACACTAACAATGAAGAGAAAATTAAAAAAACATCTCCATTTCTAAAAACATAAGAAATAAAATACTATAACTAAAACTACGAAGTGAAAGACTTGTAAA